TGAATCCCCAGGCAATACATTGAATGCGCATTACATCGTAATTTCTGATCCGATAACCTTATAAAGCAATAAATTGTTCTCCCGGTCAAATGACCGGTTGTGGCAGAAATAGGTATACGACAAGTATTATTCGAAACAAACAAAATAATAGAATATGAACTGTATGTAATTGTTAGAAAAAGTCATGAAAGTCAAATGTGCAAAAACGATAAGATGATAAGCTCATTTTCAATGCAAAAGTTCTTAAACGCTCATTTGACCGGTTATGTTTAGTGTTAACGTTGGTATGTTTAGTGTTAAATGTCTACAACTCTATGATTTATTTTGAAAAAAGCGTTGAAGTTGTCAGGTCTGCAAAAAGTCGTGTAAAAAGTAATTTGAAAAGCAACCCAGGGAATGCCAATCAATAACAAGCATATTAATTATCAAGTTTGTAACAATTATATTAATTAATAATCGGTAATATTTTTTTGATTGTGTCGAATAAAAAAATAACGTACTTTTTTCTCATGTCTCTATTAAAGGGTGTTGACTTGACGTTCCTCTTTTAAGAGCATTTATGAAGAGCTGCATAAATCTGAAAGGGAAAAAAAATTTTATTAATACAAAAAAATTAAATTTAAATAATTGAAATTACTAAAGTTAAAAGGCACGGGTTCTGAAAAGTAAGGAGTAACAAGTAAAAAAAGACATAAAGTATGAATACCACCAGATCAAATCATCAGAAACAGCAAAGTTTAGTAGTTAGCATAGGCAAGAAAGAAATCTTAATAGCCAAGAAAGATTGGTTATTATTATTATGAGTATGAAAGATAGTTTTTTTTTTAATTCTACGCATGCACCGAAAAATTTTTAAAGCTTTGTCATAATTTGTTGTGAATCGTATTTGTTAACTAATAAAAAGTTTGATTTGAATATCTTAGAAAATTGCTTAAAACTCTTTTTAATTTTCAAGTATTTTTTGTATTTTTCAAAAAAAAGCTTAATGATGAGGGGTTTTTAACAAATTTTATTTTGTATTATAAGACAAAATTTAACAATAAATGATAATACCTTATAATCATATGGTAACTAAACTTTGATGGTATAAAGAAAGCATGCAAAAGAACACATACTTTCAGTGGGGCGGAGGGGTCATCCGTCACAATGCCAGTCTCAGTTTTAATAAAGCTTGTTTAATAGTCAAATATGATTCAATTCAAAATTATGAAGAAAAAAAATTTAATTTTGTGCACATTCACTGTATAAAATGTACTTTAATGCGCAATTTCTAACGAATTTAGTTTGCTCTAAAAATTTCGTTTGATTCCATAGTATATTTATGAAGTTACAGCAAAAAAAACCTAAGGTCCGAAAAAATTATTTAAAAAAAAAAAAAATTCGATATTTCCATAAATATTTACTCTAGGTTTAGGACACTTATTACAGTTATTAAAAATAACTGAAGTAATCGATATAAGTTACAAGCTCATTTGTAGATTTTCTGGCGTAGGGTGTCTAAAAAGACTTGTTTTCTTTCGTAATTTATTGTAGGTCACCAAACCTCTGAAAGCTTTAAATCTTATTGCTAACTATCAGAAAACGCATAAATTAAACATCTCTAAAGTTTAAAAAAAGTTTCTTGAGGAATTTTAAAAAGTCAAAAGCTCAGTGTCTTATGCATTATTGCAAGGTAGAGTGTAGTATATATCCATATCTATATATATGTATATTTATATATATCTATGTATATGTATATATAAAAAATTCCCATATTGTTTAACTTTTATATGTTGATAATTTTTTTTTTTTTTTGAAAGCTTAAGCTATTAAACTTAATTTCATGAAATAAATGACATTAAGGGTCGAAATATAGGTTGATAAATTTTGTTCATTAAGTTTTATTTTTAAAAAAAATATTTTGCAAAAATAATTTCTGAGAACTATGTCTGTGTGAACCTCAAAAATAAATCCTTAGATTCCTTTTTTTTTATGTAAAATGTATATGTACACATGTTAAATCTTCTAAGAATAATTAAATTAAACGAAAGAATTAATATTTTAAGAAACACCAAACAAAAAAGAGATTTTGTTAGAATATAGTTAAAATATTATAACTCTTAATTATAGTTCGAAATTTTTTTAAATTATTAAAACTAGTTTAATGGTTCTTTTAAAAAGAACAGGAAATCTTAAAATTTTTTTTTAATTTTCATGTTAAAAAAACTTTGTCAGATAGAAGAATAGATGTTAAATTATTCTTAAAACATTAAGAAAATAAAGGCTTATTTAGATAAAAATAAATAACTTTTATGAAATTCCAGCGTAAAATTTTTGACTTTGAATTTTCAACTATTAATTCATTCATTAAATAGATATGAAAGAAAATCGAAATGGATTTTCTGATGGGTAAAGCGTTAGTCATCTATGTACATACATATTTCTCTTACACGGCGACAAAAAAAAGCCTCATTACAATTCTCCGAATGGCAACGCTAGAAAATCGACCCATGATTGCCGCTAAAAATGTCACATGCCAAATCTAGCTGAGATGGCTCAACATATAGAGCTTTTAAAAACGGAAACTGAAATAACCAGAGAGCATAAGCTAGGCAAAAGTGAGTAGTCTTTGTCGATAGATCTCGATTTTAATATTGTCGAAAGCGCTTTTTTTCACGAATTTATATATTACGAATTTATTTAACGATTTTTGATTTATATCACGAATTTATTTGTTTTACTAGAATTTATTTGTTTATGCGGGTTTTTCCATTGCAATTCACTTATTTCAATTCTTAATAGACTTAATTATAGCCAAAATTTTAACCTTTTTAAAGAGATATCAGTTTTAGAAATTTTATCTTAAGATTTTATACTATAGCACATTTCTAATAGGTTTAACGAATTACATGTCATTTATTTGAATTCAAATTTATTTTAATGACTTAGTATTTACTAAAAAGATGTGATTTTATTTTTAAAAAAAGTTGTTATATGGATTTGAGTGATTGTTTTGAATTCTTAGAAATTTGTGCATTTGCAATGTACCTAAGTTAGTAGCGAGCGAAGCGAGTATTCGGGAGTTGGCGAGCGTTAGCGAGCAGGGGTCGCACTCAATCGTTTATAAAATCGTTGCTCAATCGTTTATAAAATACATTTTATTCAACAACTCAAGTTCAAATACATTTTTCTTAAACTTGTAGTGAGATGACACTTGACGTTAATACAGTTTTTCAAACATTAATTCATTAAATTTTACAAGTTTTATTTGGGTTAAAATTTTTTAATTATTTAATAAAAAAGTAACTAAAATATTTTCTTTCCTGACCTAGTAGGAATTGACTTTAATATTTTTTTATATTACTTGTTTTAATCACAACGGTGCTACCACAAGGTCGTCCTCTTGACGGACAATGCCCAGTTCAAGATGCTGTTCACGGCCTACTCGAGATTTACGCGTTTGATCATCGGCAAAAGATATTGAACCGCTGGTATTTTGTTATTTGGGTATTTATACTGTAAGCTTGCATCATCTAGTTTATAACACCGAAAAAAATGTTTTTTTCTCGCCAAAATATCTTGGGGCTTTTTCCATCATAGCAATATATACAAATGTCATTGCAGCGTAGAGAAAAATCGCCAACAAAACCAATTGTTTGCGCCAATGGGATAGTAAAAAGAATTTTCCAAAATAGATCGAAAAAGCGACTAAAAATTTGATAGAGGCAATGACTTTGATTCAAGAGACGCAAATTTCCATCTTTCTCGTTATTTTCGCCCGAAAAAAAAATATTCGAAAAAAAAAAAAGTTCTTCCAACACAACGACAGATTTTATTCGAAGCTTTTTCTCCCCCACGGGCAGATTCAGTCGAAGAAAACATTCTTTGAAACAGATAAATACTATGTGGGGGGAAAAAATTGCAAACGATTTTGTGAATTGTAAAAGATGGTTTTTAAAAGTTCGTATAGAATGTTTTATTTAACTAGCTGAACACATTTGTTATGAACCGTTTTACAATGATTAATTTTTGGTGGAAATGGCATTAATATACTATTAAGAATTACTGTTAAAGAGATTCGTTAAATGATTTACTCTTAGATTTATGCAACAAAGTGATGATTGCAAAAGTTGTATTTCTAATGCCTCCGTCCATTTGGTAAGCAAAAATATAAAATGACAGCTCTGAACTCACCCAATTTGTTATAACACTATATGTTTAATTTTAAATGTTATTTCAAAAAAATGATTATTTAGAAAAATGATTGATGTTTACTTATAGATATTAACAGCATCATATGGGAAATATTTGGAGGTGAGAAGTGGAGGAAAAAGTGTTCTTTTTAGAACATATATTTTGAGTAGAATAATTTCAACTGTTTTATGCCAAGAGAGGGCAATTATTGCGAAACAATCATCGGAGTTGGTGAGCCTCAGCGAATAGGGGACTTAGCACCCGTGTAATATAGCAAAAAATATATTGCAATTTTCTTAGCTTTATTAATAGTCTTGGTATATGTCTTCCAGTTTTCTCCATGATTTCGTTGTTGTTGCTCAGTATTGTTTTATGGATAGCTTAATTCTTTTTTCATCCAGTGCGGCATTCAGTTGGCAAATAAATGAACAGTTTTCAGTCTAAGAATAACACATTATTACGTAATTAAGTAGGCAAGGTGGCCTGGTGTTGGCTGGGCGCTGGACTCACGTTCATGAGAACGGGAGTTCGAATCCAGCCGACTGGGCACTCCCCTTGTAGTAAATTGTGACTGGTGCACGTTAAATCTGTCGGTTTCACAAAGCTCTCCATGCTCCAAATTAAACCTCTGGGGGTAATGGATGGGTAGTTCTGTTTCAGGTCAAAATTACGATTTTAGGATGAATGAATGGATCCGCCCTGTAAACTGGTATGACGTATGGGTGTGGCAGATGTTGAATTCTTGATGTTAGATAGCGCCTCTGGAAGACATGAATAATCGTACCCCTTGCCTTAATGGCCTACAGCAACAAAATAGTTAAAATCTTATTTTATGATAGTCTTAAGCTGTGACGGCTCAGTGGATAGAACGTTCGCCTTCCAATCAGGTGAATCTGGTTCGAATCCCGGCGATGGCTGGTCGATACGTATTCCTCACCCGACTTGCGCCGACCACACTGCTGACGTGAAATATCCTCTGTGGTAGACGGAACAAGGGTTAGAGTTCCGTTGTCAGGCTAATCGTGGGAGGTTCTTGAGGTTTACCGCTCCATATAACACAAATGTGGGCTAGTTCCATTAAAAAGTCATCCAGGAAGGCAAATTTCTCCCCAATACTTCATCCAGGAGTTTCCTTGTCTTCTGGATTGGGTTCAAAATGACAAGGCTGCGGAGTTTAACATTAGTAGTCGTAAACCCGAAAATTGGGTACGCTGCCCGACGACGGGTATAGTCTTCTTTCTTAAAAAAATATTTACATTAATTTTACGCCAAATAAAATAAGCAAATGTTATTTAACAATCTTAAAAAAATAGTTATTCTAAAACATTTTTTAAGTGGAAGCTTAAGTATTTTCATCTGTAAGTATAAAAGATTTATATACAAACTATAATAATAGTTTAAATT